AAGATAAAGATAAAGATAAAGATAAAGATAAAGATAAAGATAAAGATGAAGATGATGAAGATGATGAAGATGATGAAGATGATGAAGATGATGAAGATAAAGATAGAGATAAATATAAAGATAAAGATAAGGATAAAGATAAAGATACCACAACTGATTTTGATCACAAAATGGTTGACCACAAGTTATTTTCATCACGGGACTACAAGCTGTGAGTAACATTTATATGTAAGTGGATGTATTTAAAGGAACGGTGGATATTATTTCACACTACTCGTAACATTGTCAAGAATATATTAATACAAGACTGTGCTTCTCATGAAAGCGCTGTCAAAAGGTGTACGTTCCGATATTTCCTTGCTGGGAAACGCATTTCGCTAGTTTAGAGTGAAAAGTTGCTAAGTCCACTTTTTGTAAAAACTCATACTTTGATAAAGAAGCAAGAGAAATTAAAAATGCATCGCTTCCAAAAGGACCTGTTGTATATTTTCCGTTTATATTCAAAGTAAGAAAAATTTTCTAAGGCCAAGAGGGGCACAGAAAACTCGATTACGCCGAATTAATTTTAATTAATAATAGATTAGCGCGTTTGACCGAGCTTCTCCTCCAATTGGTGAGTTTTTTGACTAGCCAAAACAAGCGAAACTTTTCGAATTTTGATATTAAGAGCGACTTGGTGTGAATGTAAGTGCTGATTTGGTGTGTGGTACAAGTCCAACTGCGTTGTGCCTTCGAATATAATTTTGAGGCAGTAGGATCATAATCAGCCTCATTGCGTAAGTCGTAAATTAGGCTGAATTGTACGACTCGACAACATTAGCATTGTCTACTGTCGTGCTGAAATAAGTAAACGACGAAAATTGTCGAAAACTATGCAGTGCTGCCAAGTTCTTCCGTTTTAATACACTAGTCGAGTGGAAATTTTAGGCAATGACGCAAAATTTTCGATACGATTCGACTCTCGAAAAACGACTTGCATTCGGCACGACTCTCGCAATAAGGCTGAATATGTTGTTATCAATACAGGCGATATTTTTTTAATAAGCATCGTGAAAAGACTTCAACGAAGACTGTCACTTGGCATTGTGTGAATTACAAATGCAAAACCTGCAATGTTCTTGCCCACACAACGTCTGCCGTTCCAGCTGGTAAAATAGTTGTTTTTATTATCCGAGCGTCTATCAAATTAAATTTTTTTTTGTGATTATAGGAACATTATTGCCAGTGGTGCAATGGATAATGCCAGAAAAACCGTCAATAAATTTAAGAAAGCAGTGGATGGAAATCGATGGATAAATAAACAACTTTTGAATGGTCAACTAAAATATGCAATAATATTTTTTTTTATGAAATAGAAGAAAGAAATAATGTTACACATACGCCATATCATACGTGGCCGCAGTCTTACATACTCATACAAGGCGTATGAGTAACATTTGCTATGTTAAAATTT